TTTGGTTAAGAAGAACCCTCATATAGCAGGAGGTGAAGGACACATAAGATGAGGAGAGGAAATGCTGTAGATCTTTGCAAAGAGCAGCACTTGAACTAACTTTTAGATCCCATTTATGATGATCTTAAAGGACTTTTCCAACCTAAATGATTCTATGATTCCTGATCTCACTCCATCCATTTGTCCACTCGTCCTTGTGACAGTCCTCCTTCCTTAAGCTGGAGAGGGTGATATGGAGGTACTTCTGGCTGTTTGTGGCTGCTCATCTGTATTCTTGGCCTTTTCAGGTGAGGAAGTGGGTTGCTTTAGAAAGCCTAGAGTGTGCATATAGCATCCCATCCCAGCACATGTGCAGCTTTTCTACAAACCGTCTACAAGACATTCAGGATTTTTACTTAGAAGGAATAATCCATTGCAAACAACCATCTGTGGAAATAAGATAGTATGGGAAGCCTCTAAAGCCTTCTTCATTTATTACTCATTTCTGCCACCATACTAATGTTTTATTTACATGATGATCTCTTTCTGTGTCATTAGGTATGACTGGAAGAAGATGCAGAAACTGTTATATGAGCTAGGATGATTAGTACTGCCACAGCACAGTGAATCCTCTTTTGTTTTGTAATTCCCTGAGACATTTTTAATCACTTTTGAAAAGTACAGAAATGTTACGTGTTACAGCCTCACTGTTCCATGTGAGAAGTATTCTGATCATAGCCTACCCTGTTGGTGAATGCAGACATAGTGAGATGCAATGTCAAGATACTGTCATATCTGCTGGCTTCCGAGTAGAGTGTCTGTTCAGATTTCGAAGTCCTTTAACTCTCAAGTTAAGGAAAAGAATATCAGCTTCCTTTTCTCTCATTAGAACTCATAAGTTTGAGGGAACCATAAAGCATTTGCTGTGGTTACACCTCTACTTCTATAAGGTAATACACCTATTGAGATATACCACAGCAAGTAAAAAAGGTGTGTTATTAAGGGTGACTGTAACACTGATAATGTAAATCAGGGCGAAGAAAATCTCTTTGACATTCTGGATGAGATTGTGGCTTGATAAAACAACTGTGGTGCTGAACTACAATGTTGGGGTTCCTCTGGAGTCCATAATGTTTCCTCCCACCACTCCTTTCATATGCCTGTTCACTGTATTTCTGATTCTAGTTTAAGAAAAGCATGTTATGCTTCAGATGCCTCCATAAATTTTGCTTTAGGCATGTATGTACATCTTCTTTAGAATTGTGTTCTACTCTTTCAAAGTTGCTCTAAAATTTGTATAAAGGTGCACTGAGTAAAAGTATTGTGATACCTTTTTTGTTTTGGTTTGGTTTTTTTTTAACCTGTTTACAGGCCCATATAGTGTTCTCTTCAGGTTAGATGGTTTATGCTTGTTCTAAATGGAAAGTATCAAAGTATCAGTGCTGTGAATGTTAGAAGGATTTTCTCAAGTCCACAGTGTTGTAGCTAAGGGCAAATAGTCTCGTTCACCTCTCCATCCACCTTCCTCTTTTCTTCCCAGAATTGCGTTTGTTCTAAACCTGCTGAAATGCTCATGTATAGGAGAAAAGTGAGATAATTATTAAGATTTAGTTTAAAACTGACTTAGATGGGTAACTTAGACATTCTATTTCAGTTTTGATGTGGCTTGTTTAAGTTTGGATATGTAAACTAGAGTAGATTTAACAGGTTTAAGATACACTATGATAAGTCATCCTTAAATTGAAGTAGGCGTCTTTGTATGGGATTTTGCACTTGATAAAGCAAATAAAGCCTGATTTATGTTCTTAATGCAAACAGGTTAGACAAACAGGAGAGATTTTTTCCCTGATTTCAGTGGGTGTTCAGCTGTTGTTTTTTGTTTTTGTTTTGTTTTTCTTTTTCCAATTTCAGTTTGCTTCAGAGTATCACAGGAATAGTCTGCTGCTTTAACTGGCAGGCACCCAGGATCTAGAAGGTGAAAGGAAACATAGTAGGTGATATCATAACAAACTCTTGCCAAATTGAGGTTAGAGGGAATTTCCATTTTCTTTGTAGATAGTATTAAAAGTTCTTATTTACAGTGAGGGCAATGACAGTATCCAACAGCCTTTTTCATGCCAATTCCAGGGATAGAAGGATGCTCAGCCATCTGTTCCTGATGCACAGATAACACAAAACCTGTGGGATGGAGAACCTCCTTTGACAGACTCTGAAAAAGGCATTGTACCAGGGAAGGCTTGTTCATAGCGGAAAGAGGAACTGAGGTAACACTTGACGATAGAATAAGACTTTGTATAATTTTAACAGTGAAACTTACCTTGACTTGTTATCACCTGTTTAAAATGCAAGTGGAGTTGTACAAGTTGCTTGTTTAATGCTATGTGTTAAGTCTCCTCAGAGTGGACCATCTCCAGTGGAGGTTTTTGCACCAGTGATAGTATCAGAATGAGTGTCAGAGAAGACTATGCTTTTATCCTATGCAGGATCTGATAGAAAGACTGAAAATAAGAAAGCATATTCTGCTTTTTAAAAAAAAAATGATATGATGTTTATATGTTTGAGAGAAGCTGTTACAGTTTCAGAGTCTCTATCATCCAGAAGTATCAGGCACAGAAATGTACAAGAGTGCCTGTAGGAGAGAGGGAGGTAAGAAACAGAAAACCTTTTGCTATCATACTTTTGCTTTCCTTAGCCACACAACTCTTGCAAGAAATTATGAAGCCAAGGCATGTGACAAACACAGATTTAATTACTGATGCCAGTTAACTGTGCCAGGAAATGGTACTGGTTCTGGAAGCAATAAAAAAGCAGCAGGCTCCTCTGCTTAAACTTATCTGTAAAGAGGGTTTGTTTCCTTTTTCCATGCCTTCAGAACTCTGCCTGACATCACCCAGGACTCCACATGCAGTCTGGCTAAGAGGCCACTTTCTGACTCCCAAGAAAAACAAATGGTAATGCAAAAAACTTGCATCTGGCCTGTTACCTCATCCTCGGCCACCTGGGCTGCCTGAGAGTCGTCATGGCAATCCCAGTTCCTTTTTGATTGCTACATAATAAATTAGAAAAACACTGTTGAGAAAATAGACATTCACAGAAAGCTGACAACCCTTAGAGCTCAAAGAGTAAGGAGGATTGATCTCCACTATTTCTACATGAACTGGTAAGTTTCTTCAGGTACTAAAGAATCCATATGTTCAGTAAAAGCTCCCTGTGAAGCCAAGATGCACATGATCTATCAGCTATTTGTCACCACCAAAAAATACTTCTTTCCACAGCCCTGGTTCTGAACTGCGGACAGCCAGGCTTTACTCCTTCCTTCTGCCTTAATTACTAATAATCAAAGATACATAGTGCAGTCTCTTCCCCTTCACCCTTGCTGGATGAAGGATTTTTCAGCACTCAGTGTACATGCTGGAAGGCTGTCATAGTCTGTGTTGTGAAACAGACAAATTCAGATACATATTCTGCTCAGGAAAGCTAGAAGTTTAATTCTGATGACAGTGTTTCTTTTAATTTAGCCATTAATGATCCCTAAATCTTACTGACAACATTTTTACAAAAGCTTGAGAGAACACAACATTAAACAAAATGTGTGTGCCATCCTGAATGATTTAGATCAGATGCCTACACCATTTCTGTTTCTGTGACTTGTACAGTTGCCACTTAAGCACTACTGATCTGCACGTTATCTGGTTTTAACTGAAGTTCTGTTAGCTGATGTGTTTTTTCTTAGAAGACAAAAGAATAATTTAAAAAGGAAAAAATGAAGTTACAAATACGTGGCTTTTCTGCAGATCCAAACTTCCAAACAAACTGACTTGATTCTGCCCATTGCATTTCCAAAGCATACTGTCAGAAGTGGTTTTACAGCTGTCTGCTACATGCATAATGAAAAGGATTTAAGCAAGTTAATACTTTTACATAAAAATATCTATTTATGGGGGCTTTAAAATGGGAACAAGCTTCCAGTACATTTGTCCTATGTGATCACAGTGAAGGCAAATTACATACCACACAGCACTGAATTATGTTGAAGGAAATGCATGATTCATAGAATCCTAGAGTGGTTGGGGTTGGAAGGGACCTTAAAGATCATCTACTTCCAACTCCCCTGCCACAGCTTATCTGGGCACCCTGGGCCAGCGCCTCACTCCCCACACAGGGAAGAATTTCTTCATTACATCTCATCTAAATCTCCCCTCTTTCAGTTTAAAACTATCACCCCTTGTCCCATTCCCACCCCCTGATCCCCACCCCCTGTCCCATCCTCACCTTCCCTGTCCCCCCTTTAAGCCCTGGGAGGCCGCTCGAAGGGCTCCCCGGAGCCTTCTCTTCTCCAGCCTGAACCCCCCCAACTCTCTCAGCCCGGCCTCCCAGGGGAGCTGCTCCAGCCCCCCCAGCATCTCTGTGGCCTCCTCTGGCCCCGCTCGAGCAGCTCCGTGTCCTTCTGCTGTTGGGGGCCCCCGAGCTGGCCCCAGCACTGCAGGGGGGTCTCCCCAGAGCGGAGCAGAGGGGGAGAATCCCCTCCCTGGCCCTGCTGCCCCCCCTGCTCTGGCTGCAGCCCAGGGCACGGGTGGGTTCTGGGCTGTGAGCGCATGTTGATTGCTCATGTTGAGGTTTTTGTCAGCCAACAGCCCCAAGTCCTTCTCCTCAGAACTGCTCTTAAACCATTCTCTACCCAGCCTGTATTTGTGCTTGGGAGAATGTAAAAAAAAAAAAAAAAAAAAAAAAAAAATCCAATTCCAGCTGGTATCTCTTTTTGCCAAGGAGAAAACACCAGATGTTTTGAGCTTTTACAGGATGTGTACATTAATTCTCATACCTTATACGTGGATTATAAACTAATCACAAGCAGAACTACTTTATCCTGTTCTAAGAAAAACGTCCACTGGTGCACAGGCGCTCTTTAATTTATAAATAGATTGGTGGCTTTACATGTGTTCTATTCATGTCTCTCTGTGAACTTGACATAATCGTCACTTAGCTCTCTGGGTTGAAAGTACTAGAGAGGAGACTTGGGCTAGGGATGAAAGAAAGATTTATTTAAATACACTTAATTTCACAGTTCAGGCTTTGGTGTGACATTTATTTTTTCACATACTGTTTTATATTTACTTTTATAGAACCTTATCAAAATGTGTAAGTGTGGTTTGGTGAAAATAATCTGTTATCATAATCTTCTGCTGAATGGAGAAATGGGCTGTTATTCTTCAAACAAGAATACCGTTGTCTAAGTTGAAACAGCATAAAGGGGAAAATCACCCTTTACATGACATATTTGGTGGGTTTTCATTCTATTTTTTTGAATAACATTTACTGAAGAAATAAAATATTTGGTTTTGTAAAAGGTTAAAAATTATGTTGTGAATTCCATGACTCAAACATGCATTTTCTCTTTAAGACCAAAGTAACAGTAATTGATCAAAGAGACAGATACAGTGTTTGATGTTGAAATCTTTCCAACCTCAGTTACAAAAATAGTACCAGCAATGTATCACATCTACATATACCACATCTGCAACGTACATATGTTTACATCACCTAAAAGATTAAAATTTAACGATGTAGGACTGAAGGTGGTGCAGTCCAGCTGCACAGTAACATCTATTCCCAAGATTAAGTCAACCACAGCTTTTCTCAGTGTTTCCACTGCCTCTCAAGCCAATCAAGTGTCATACAACAGCAGAGGCAAACTATTATGAAACACTTAGCAGCTTTAGATTTTTATGGCTTCTCTCCCACATATAAGGTGTGCAGTGGTCAGGCCAAGTATCTGTTTCTAGGGCTGATGGGATCTGAAATTAAGTCTATCTGTATTTGCACACAAACCCCAACATGGGTTTGAGCCAAAGTTTAAGAGGAGCTGCAGCTCTAGACTCAAGAAGATGGCTGGTAATGGTAATAAAGACCATGGGTGTCACACGTGGCTCTATGTTCTACAGACCTCCTTTTTAGCATCAAATGCTTTCAGACTGCATATAAATTATGGCTTAGGCACCATTTTTAAGAGGGACCAGAAAGCCATTCTGCCCTTCTATTACTGCTTTTAAGTGCAGTACTGCTTTCTATATGCAGACCAAGTACCACTTCTTAGAAATGCGATTCCTAGTCCTAGAGGAAGAAAGCCTGCAAGCTAGATTTTTTTTTTTTTATTTTTATTTTTTTAAGAGATGGAAAAGATTAATTTTTTCCTCTGTGGCTGGGCTATTTAGCACTCTGAAATTCACAGATTCTGATACCCTCTCTATTTATCTAATAGGCTTTTGTTCTGTGTTCCAAAAGGAAATTCGTATGTGGTTGACCTAGACAGTCCAATTCCTAGTTCACCAAAAGATCTCTGAATTCTGTGGATTTGCCACAGTCCTGACATTCACCTTGTTCTTCCTCAGGAAAGCGGCAGCTGCAGGCATCATCTTCTTGAATTGACTGTTCAGGTGTGGTATGAACTAAAGAGAAAGAAAATATGTTCACTTTCTGTTGTATTTATTCAGCCATCTGATTTCACCCTTCCACAGTCACAAGTGCTGGAAGTCAGCAAGAAAAACTCTTCCAAAGGATTCAATAATCTGAAATTATTCTTCTACAGCATGTACATCTGATAAAACTAAATTAACATACTTTGTTTTCCCTCCTGCAACAGGGACTGCTAGTGCTCTATTTGCCATAGGAATGAAAGGAAGACCAACATGGAGTTGTTAGACTTCTTCAGTAATGCTGTTGTCTCCTATATCCAGAACTACACTAGAAGATCAAACCCTTAACTCTAGGAAAGGGGAGAGAGTGAATACCCCAAACAAAAATCCCAAGTATAAACTATGCTGCATGCAGTTCCACCTCATCTTTGTGCTGAACTCTTGAGCTTCCCCAGGACTTAGTAGGTCTCAGAGGGCAGTGCTGGATTCTGGCTGGCTGACTCTGCATCTGAATAGCAGTACATCCTGACTGACATCCCCTCTTCTGCTGCAGGCAGAGTTCAAAGATGCTCACTCCATGCCATGCATACTGTTTCTGAGCAAAGAGAACTGGAAAGTGTTACTGCCATGCATGCCAAAGATGGTACCTGGAAGTAATAAACTGAACTGACCCTTAACCAGATCAGCAAGGTTCAGATGAGCTTTCTCACCTCCCACGAAAACTTCACTTCTATGGATATGCATGCAGTTAACCTGCAACGCTGACAGAACACCCACAGGTAATTAAGTACTCCCTGCAATAAAAATTCCTAATCTGTTTTCCTTTCAGTAGTTGTTTCTGACTTACAAGGCCACTACGTGAAGCTACCTGCAACTATCTTTGAAAGATACTTAAAAACTTGGACTCCTGATTCCTGTCTAGTTTCACAAAGTTGAAAAACATATCTATCTTACTTTTCTTGAAGACAGCATGTAGTTTCTTTTTCTGCCAGATACTGAAGCATATGCACGAAGGTAGCAGAAACACTATGCACAACAGCCCAGCTACAGTAAGAGAAATTCTGATAATGTCCTCTTGGAGGTCCTTCCCTAGGAAGCAAACAACATTCTCTAAGAAGCGTTGCAGAGCAAAATTCTACTGCCCATGAATTAGCTGACAACTTTGTCTCCAACTCTGCTTCTGGGCAAGTCTGGAACACTGTAAATGGATAGTAGAAACAACTCTTGCTTTAAATGGTGAATGAGCTATAGTAAGTTTCAAAGTAGGTCATAATTCTTTAGCTCTATAAGCAATATTATAGAATGACTCACCTGGCACAGTGATAGAAAGTGGAATTGCAGAAGACATGGTAGGCAAAGTAGTGACTAAAGTAGGATTAGCTGAAGCGTATTTGCAAATGACATCTTTTGCTGCAGTTCCAGGCTCCAGGACCTGGTCTGCAAAGCACCTGAAAGACATTTAAAGCAAAACAGGAAGAAAAAAAAAAAAAATTTTTCAAAAAAATTTCAGTCAAGTGTAATAGCTGTAGCATTTATTTTCAGATTACTTACTTTGTCCAGTTTTTACAGGAGCCATTGGGCTGATCATTAAAAGTTCCATAGCGGCAAGCTTGGCAACCTTCAACAGACAAGGACAGGTAAATTTGTACAGGATGAGCATTTAAAACAACACATGAAACATTGGTTTTGCCTGACTTTACAGTGACTATGATCCACTTTCACAGAATTACTATTTCATAAGTTGCTCTGAGTACGCAAGGCAAGCCTTTCCCTGTGAGCTATGGACCAGTACAGTATTGAGCTCCAGAGCCAGTTTATTTGGCACAAGGTGCCACAAATCATGTTTAACTCCAGAGTTCCCACTTCAGTCTCCCACATGCTGGTGACTAAAGAGCTGTCATGCAAAGGGAACCAAATAGCACTCAATTTGAGCTCAGAGGGGGCTGAGAGTTTGTTGGTTTTGCTTGCTGCTGTTCTCGCTCCAAGCGCCGTGCAAACTGTTCAGCAGCAGTAGCAGCTTTTATCTTACGAGGTCTTTACTCTACTTGTTCCCACGCTGTGCAAGAGGCAGTGGTGCATCCGGTGCAGCGAATGCAGCGTTAGGCTGGTGGGCAAAGGTGACCTTACCACTCCCATTGTTCTCCTGGCCCACGCCGCAGCTTCGGTCGCAGCGGGAGCAGCCGTTGCCGCTGCAGCGATACCCCTCCTTGCATGTGCATTCAGCATCGCTTTTTGAAGAACACTCTCTTAAATACTTGAATCTTCCTGGAATGTGGAAACAAGTCGCAGGTTATATATGCGCTCAGGCACACGCAGCACAACTGTGCTCGGGACCTTTGCTCTCACAATGATGAGGCTGGTGGCTTCAGCGAGAAGCCCCGCAGGCGCATCGCGTTACTCGGCCAGTGCCCATCGCACTCGCAGCAACGCGGCAAGCGAACGCACGATCTTTTGGCGCCGGGGAGGTAACAGAGGGGCCGCCAGAAGCCGCCACCGCCCTCCCCGCGGCCCGCCGCCCGGTACCTTCGCATTTCCGGCACAGGGTGCAGCCGCTAAGCCCCGCCGCGCTGGAGAAGGTGTCGGTCGGGCACTGCCGGCATACCGCGCCCCGCCCGCAGCCTGCGCTCACCACGAAGGTACCTGCGGGCCGAAAGAGAAGGTGGTTACCGTGGGGCCGCGCCCGGCGCTCCGCGCCCCGGCCTGGCCCGGCCCTCACCCGCCGGGCAGTCGGCGCCGCACGGCAGCGCGGTGGCGGCCCCGGGGCCCAGCGCCAACGCCAGCAGCGCCGCCGGCCAGAGAGCCCGGGCCGCCTGCGCCGCTGCCGGTCCCATGGGCTCGACGCGCGGCGGCGCGGCCCGCTGGAGTGCGCGCGGGGCGGCGGGCGCCGGCCCTTAGGGGCCGCCCCCGGAGGGCCTGGCTGCGTCACCTCGGGGGCGGCGGGGAAACCCCGGCCCGGCGGGGCTTTCCGGCCCCCCCTCCCCTCCCCCCCCGCGCGACCCCCGGCTCTGCCGGGCAGCGCCCGCAGCCCTCTCAACGCTGCCGGGCAGCGCCCGCCGCTCGCCAGCGGGGCTTCCCGGCGAGTCCCACGCGGAATCCCCGCGGTGGCTCGGCCGTCCGGCCCGGCATGACCTCTCCGAGCCGCGGGCAGCCGGCCGCGCCCCCGAAAGGTGAGGGGGAGGAGCCTGGGTGGGGAGGCCGGTGCGGCCCGCGAGGGCAGAGGCAGTAGGACTGCTCCGACGCACCTGCACGCACGCCGCCGCGCACGGAGGTACTCGGTCTGACCCCTCGCCACGAGGTGCACCCCGCAGCGCGGGGATAACCCAGCGCTCGCCGCCGGGCGGGGGGGGCAGGCGGCCCCGCTGCTCGCACGTAGCGGCCGCGCCCGCCCGGCGCTGCGGCTCGTGCCCGGCCGCGCGGCTCCGCCCCCCTGCGGCTCCCCGCGGCCAATCCCCGCCGCGCTTGCACGGGCGCGTGCCCCCTGAGGCCGAGTGCGGCCGGCCGATGCCCCCGCCGGGGGCGGCTGCCGCGCGTGTGAGCGACCGGAACGGGAGCGGCAGCGTGGGCAATCTGGAGTGCATTGTAACTGAAAAGCGAACGGACCCTGAGCGTGTGCGTGCCTGACACACAGGCAGGCAGTAAGTGCAAGGGGCAGCCTCTCGGGAGTTTTGAGTGAAGTCCAGCGTGGGTAGCACCCAAAAGCTCCCCGTGCCAGGAGCAGAAGCCCGCACCGATTCCAGGAAAGCCCCCAGTGAAGTCCTCCCCTATGACTAGGTCTCCTGTTACGCGTCCTGGGGTGGAGCTGCTCTGCCAGAGCTCTCATGAGCCCATCACCAGGGAACCAGACCATGGCTGCCAGCACCTGCAAGTAGCAATTTTTCACAACAGGCGTATATGCAGTCCTAAACGGCCCCTTTCACAGCTCGGTCTTTCAAAATACTGAAACTTCTCCTTAAAAGCAGGAAAAACCTGTCCTCGAGCCAGGGGTATTTTCTGTGTACTGTGAGCCTCGGGAAGCAGGGATGCCGGTTAAACGTTTTGGGCAGAACTTGTAGAAGGACAGTGACTCGGTTCAGCATTCTGTGGGTGTGGCGCTTGCCTGAGGAAAAGCAGGAGCAGCTCGTTTTGAAGGTACGTGCCTTGCGATTGTGCTGCTGTAGGAGGGCGATGTCACAGTGGTGGGCTCCGGAGCGCTCTGAAGCTGAGCGAACGTGAAAAAAACCGGAGTGTTTTACAAATGGAAAAGGCGGACAGACGTGTGTCCGAGACGCGGCCGCGGAGGGAGCACAGCCAATGCAATGCGCTGAGCGGGGCGGCGGGGGCGGGCGGGCTGGCTGAGCGGGGGGCGGTGGGAAGGCGGGGCCGGGGCGGGGCGGGGCGGGGCCTCCCAGAGCCGCCCGCGCCTCGGCTGAGGTGAGTCGCTGCCGCCGCCGCCGTGCCTGCCGCCCGTACGGGCCGGGTCGCTCCCCGGCTCGCCGGGTGTGGGTGGAGGAGCGGCCTCGACGGGCGGGGGGCCGGGATCCGGCCGGGGCGGGCCGCCGCTTGCAGAGGGTCGGGGTTTCGCTGCGGGGGGCCCGGAGGCCTGCCGGGGTTGCACCGCCCCATCAGTCGCCGCGGCGGCCGCGAGCAGGGCGGGAAGGACGTTTGCTTCTCTTCCGGGGTGCCGGCCTTCCCACGGCTGTGCTCCGTGCGGTGTCAGACTGGTGCTTCGTTCTGGGCTGTTCGTGGCCTTAGGAAATCCTTGCTACGTGGAATGGCGCCGTGTCCTAAAATAAACACATGAATATGTAGGGACGTGGCCTTCCATCTGGACTGGCTGAGCTGATAAGCCTTAAAACTCCCCTTGCCTCTGGTAGCTAGCTGTTTGGTCGGGGCATCGAAGGGTGTGATATTGTGAAAGGCACCCGTCTTAGAGTTTCTGATTCAACCATCTGCCAGAAGTCACCATTTCAAGAAATGTGCATGTACCCATGTAGGGGAATATGTTTAGTTTAAAGGTTCGAGGCAGACGATACATATGCTGGCATTGAGAAGCAAATGGAAGGCAAATGCGTAGCTAGCTTGTTCAATGAAACGGCTGTTAGGTCTGTATAACTTGGTTCTGTTTTCTCAGAAAACACTCATGCCCTGGTAGCATTTACAGTATGACAGCTATTTACATATGCCCCCACGTAAAGAACACTACTAATGCTCAGGAATTTGTCAGTGGATTACGATAAATGTCTAAGTAGGGAGAGACTGCATGTTGCTAGATTAGGGGAAAGAGAAAACTTTTCAGGATCAGGTGCCTGTTTGCATCTAAAGAACTGAAGAGAGAGAGGGATACAAACTGATCAAGACTATTTTTCTACAACAAGAAGCAAATGCAATATTTCTGCATTATGGCTATTCAGGTATTTGTACAAAGTTCATACAAAAATTCATACAAATTAATACAAAAATTAATTTTGCAGAATCAGTGTATACCTTCAAGATGAATTACGAAGAAGCTCTAGGTTGTCCTGAACTTACTGTTAATACCTGTGGTTTGGGTGTACTTGTTCAGTTGGCCTTGCATTGACACTACATAAAGCTGCCCTAAAAGTAGGATTTGACACACTGGATTAGTCTGCTTAGGCTGATTCTGCATGCTGAAGAATGTATATTACTGTAATACTGTATATTACTGCATTCTAGAAATAGCATCTTTCTAAATGAGGCTAACAGTAGGGAGCGAACCTGAAAATAGATGAAGTTGAATCAGGGTGGGTGCATGGTTTTCTTCTGTGTTGGCAACTAAATGTGGATCTCATTTTATGAAGAGCTCTCAGGTGCTACGTGCATTTCTGGATGGAAAGTCCCTATGTAGGAAAAAAAATCCCTGCCTTATCGAGTGGATATGTGAAATGCCTTCTCACACTATAGATGCTTTCACAGGCTTCTGTTAGAACAGTATGAGTTAGTGTGTATTTTACATGATGTAGTTAAAGTCACTTTGACTTAACCTACAAATGGAAATTTGGCCCTTCACCTCAACTTGAATTTGGGAGCCAGAAAAAAAGTCTTATGCCTAGTTTGTTCCATTTGCTAAATTCTGTGGTCTGCTCCCCCATCACACATGTGCACACACGTTTCTCCCCCACAAAATTGTGAAATACCCAGAAAATCTATTGCTGAGGTTTTGCAGGGGCACTGTTCGAGTCATTATAAGTCACAGGAAACTCTTCATGAAGCGTGCTATGTGGAAACCAAATACCAGACATGAGGTCAAATCTCATGCAAGTCCTTTTTATAAATGCTGACCTGGGTGGGAGCCAGTAGTCTGCATATGAGTGATGGTGTAAAAATTGAAAACACCTCTGCCACCCACCTTGAACCCTTCTCTCTGACAGACTCAAGTCCTGTAAAGTCTTGATTAGGCCAAGCTTCTTCGTGGTCTGGTGTTGATTTGCTGTGCACAAATGTCTTAATCCCTTAATACCATAATGCATTCTTTGTAAGCAGCTCTTTAGTTAAATGGGATTGCTATGAATATTAATTAAATCTAGTGAACCATTTTGAAGTGCCTTAAAGATAATGCAAAAATGCAAATTATTCACTGTTAAACTTCAGCTTTAGGAAGGATTTGTCCCAGAGGATTTGTCATCTAACCACGTTGTTTCTTTCTAACCCCTTCAGCTCCCTGCCTTCACAATCATCTCACCTAATAGCAACCCCTCAAGATATGTCCTCAAAAAGAGCATTGGTGATTCTAGCAAAAGGGGCAGAGGAAATGGAAACTGTAATCCCCACTGATGTTATGAGAAGAGCTGGGGTGAGTATGCAGACAATGAAAAATCTTTTTGTGGGTGCTTGGTCAAGGGAAAATCTTTGCCTCAAGTTGATGTTCATTGCTAGGAGTTCAAGGCATAGTCTGTTGTACGAGGTGAAAATTTACCTGTGCCTTCTTACTGGTTAGCAAATATTTGTGCCATGCCCCAAATAAGCATGTATGATGACTGACATTTGTGCAAAAGATAACCTTTTAAAATGCAAGTCTAATGTAGGCTAGAACGGATGTCTCGAGTAAAGCTCACCCTGGCAGAAAACATGGCTACTCCCATGCATAGCAGCAGGAAGTGCTTTTTTTATACGGGTCTGAACAGCTCAGTACATTACAGCTGATGACATTACATAGCTTTTCTTTACCTACTTCTAAAATACTGTGATTCACTAGAATTCTGTGTGATGGGATTCCTCGTGCTGTTTGTTACTTTTGCAACTGTACTGGCACACAGTGCTATCATCTGATTAGGTATGAAAATAAGATTTTAAATAAATAGACCAACTTCGAATGTATACAAATGACTAAAAAAAAATTACTTTGTCCCACCATCTTTGTCATTCTATTAATGTATGCCCCGTTTTGGCTGCCATAAGCAGCACAGGCTTGTCTGCTTATTTACTGAATGTGAGCTGTGCCATGCACATCTATGATATTATTGAAGAGAATTGAACATGCCATAAATGTGTGTGTTTGAGAATGGCTTGAGCCTGCAGAGAGGCTTTAATTCATTATCTGGTCTAATTAGTTCAGCTCTCCTGGGTTGTATTGTTTTGGTTTTTTTTTGTTTAAAACCTGTGCCATCAGATACTCTCTAAATGTCCCATTTGAGAAGCTGAATTAGAGATATTTTTTATCTCTAGGTGAATGTCACTGCTTACCTTATGCATTTGGACTTAATCATGGTTTGAGGAAGCCTAAGTGTTGTGCTGTTCTTGACAGCTTTTGGTAGTGCTTCGCTCATTCTGTGTATCACTTAAGAACTAACATATAAGAAAAATGCCCTGAATTATTGAATTGATACATGTATTCTTCTCTTAGATCAAGGTAACTGTTGCAGGCCTGACGGGAAAAGAACCAGTGCAGTGCAGTAGAGATGTTTTAATTTGTCCCGATGCCAGTCTTGAAGATGCCAAAAAAGAGGTTAGTCTTCACCATGAGCTGATATAATGGCCAACATGGCCTTTCTCACAGTTTCAGAGGTGAATTTGGAAAGCTTATGCATTACCTTTAGGAATAAGTTGCATGTTATTTTAGCTCTATGCAGTAGTGAATCACGGTACGCCACCAGTGTTGTCTTGATTCATAGCATGCTAGGATCAGATTTCTTAATTCTGCACAGGTATTTGTATTTGAAAAGCTTCAAACATAGAGCTTTATTTTGTGTGTTAGTCAGCCCAGAAAAATACTGTGATTTGGAACAACTGAAAAGTTCTGATGGGAAGCTAAACAACGCTATAGTTAGACCTGTACAGTAAGGTTGGAGCAAAGCCATTTGTCTTTACAGTGCAAGAGCTGTCATTTGCTTGCTGAAGCTCTTAAACGTACTAGGCTTAAAAGTTAGTACTGTGACATACTTTATCGATAATAGGCTCTTCCTGGAATAGGAAACTGTATTTTGTTCCGTAATTGAAACTGGTTCTCTGATGGTGAAGTCGACTCACTCAACTGGGCTGTAAAGGCCTTAAAAGAGTGTAATGTATGTACCAGCCTCTGTTCAACAGAACACTTCTGTCTTTTGTTTGTTTAGGGGCCTTATGATGTCGTAGTCCTGCCTGGGGGTAACCTTGGAGCTCAAAACTTGTCAGAGGTAAGTTCTGGTATCTTAAAGATTCATGGGCATGCTTGTGAGTGGTGGGTAGTCTACACTTGCTTACTAATGCTACAAATTCAGTTCAGCATCTGAAAATTCACTTCTGAATAATCCAGTAAACTAATTGTTAATTGTCTTAAGCCCCCTTGTGAATATATAGGTGGGACAACTGGGTAAATTCTTGGATTTAAGTGCCTAGTTAAACAGAATAAAAATGGAAGGCTGCTCTGTATTG